GTGTGTGTGTGTGTGTGTGTGCAAATTATCACGTCCGTCCCCCTCCTTCCCTTTTTATTAAGGATTATGATTGAAGTGACCTCAACATTGTTACATTAAGATTCCAGAACAAAGAGGGTTTCAGAAATCAGTGGATGGATATAAGAACGTAAACACTCCAGAACGTCTGTACAAGTTTGGAATTCTTGGATGCCCAGGTTTTAGCCTGAGAACCAGGAGGATGGATGAGAATCAAATTCCCCTCTGTGTGTCCGTCCGTGGTGATGTGGAGTGACGTGGCGTGAAAGACTTTCCTTTTTTTTTTCACCCTCCTCCACCTCCTCCTCCGCCGTCTCTTTGGTCACAGAGAGGAGGTGACGTCTGCGCCACCTTCCTCCTCCTCTTCCTCCTCACCGCTCACTGTTCTCCTCCTTTTTTCATCACTGCTGGAGCACACACTCCATCTGTCTCTCTTTTTCTCTGCTCTAACCTTTTTTCTGGCACATAGCACACACTCTCTCTTTTTCTTCCCCTACATGTTCATCCTCTCTCACTCGCAGTAGCAGCGCCTCTCTTTCACCTTTCTCTCGCCCTCCCTCCATCTTTCACTGGCCTTCTTCCCTTCTCTTTTAACCTTCTCTCCATCCTCTCCCGTCGCCGCCTTCCCGCCTCTCTGCCTCTCCCATCTCTTTTCTCTCTCTCCCTCCTCCGCCTCTCCACCTCTCTCTGCATTCAGTCTATGCATCTGAGCTCAGCAGAAGACGCGACACCGGATGAATGTCAATGAATGACTGTTAAAGAAAATAGATGCTGTTCTTAGTTTGAGCGTGCAAAAAGCATTTTCTATCAGCGCTTATCTTCTGCCTTCTTTCTCTCGAGTTTTTATCATTTGTTTTCGCTCCCTTTAGTATCCATGAAATATGGAATTGCCATGGATGAATGAACAAATGAATGAATGGTTGGGATCTGTGTACTGACACGGAAACAGGAAAAGTTTGAGTGTGGTTTTTTTTTCTGGGGTTTTTCTTTTTTTATTAAGGACCTTGAGTTTTGGGACCGGACAAAATGCCCTGCGGTCTTTGATCCATGGACCCGCCGATCAGTTTGTCCATGCCTGTGTGGACAGCCTAGATGACTCTGATCAGCGGTGGTTCAGCTCTGACACTTGACTAACCTGCTGCATGGATGGACTGCGAAAAATGGAGGAGGGGAACCTTTCATTTCCTGACTCCCAGTTGGCAAACTTATTTCTCGGTGCTATTGAGTCAGAGCTCCCCCTGGTGGATGGAAAAAGAGGAACCACAGAGAAAAAAACTTCAGCTACATCTCTCTTCCCTACAGCAGTCCTTCAGGTATTCCATCATCCTGAGAAAAAAAAGCATAAATTATCACCATTTATGATGACTAGTCAAGTGACGCTTGTTTTAAATATTTAGTGAATGAAAAAAGATAAACCTATAAAACTCTGTGTTTGTTTGCCTTGTATACTGAATTATAGGCGTGTTGCTGCAGCGCCTACTGTGTTTTTTCTTCTTTCTTTTTTTTACATTTTCTTTTGATTTTATTTCTTATTTCAGCTGCCTTGGTAGTACATACACACCCCAATGTAACTTTTTTTGGTAAATCTTGCCAAAATTGCACTATAGTGCATGTGTAAAAGGGAGCATTTCCATGTAATCTGGCAAACAATAGCCCAAATCTGCATTCACATACAGGCAGAGTGTGGTCATGAAGACTCATTTGCCTCAGAGCAGATAAGTCGCAGACATAGGATAAGTGAAGTGGGTTGTTAAGAAGAAGCGAGGGCCAATAGATGGATAAAAACAAACAAAAAAAACCCTGCGAAGATTGTTTCTGTGCTAAACCCAGCGGGACGGGAGCCGAAGATACAAGTACAGAGTTAGGAGCAAAAGGATGTGTTGTTCCAGCAGTGTAACATGTGGTGTGAAGAGAGACGTACTTTCATCTAAAAAAGCGCCAGGCTGTCGAACAGGGTGTTCACTTACGGTGTGTGTTGAGGATCAAAAAAAGTGTGTTTTTGACTTTTTATGTAGGCAGACAGCAGATTCTCTTTAATCGGGGAGGAACGAGAGATAAAAACAAGCAGGAACACATGGGCACACTGGTTAAAAAAAAGTGTTATCCCTTATGTGAGGATCTAGCCATTTAATATTAAGAAGAACCTGATTTTTTGTAGGTTTTGTAAATGTTTCTTGGAAACAGGAGTTCCTTTAGAAGCTGAAATAATCTCGTTAATTCAGTTAATCTTCAAAGTGTGGGACTAAAAGGTCCTGCTGGGACAGAACAGCCAACTTTTCATTGATTCTGAAAAGCTACTAAGGGTGCAATATATTAGTTGTCTGTTCAAGATGATGGTGGTGATTCTGCCTACACAGCAGCTACGCCTCGAAGAAACCGCTACAAGCTTCATTCTCTAAAATATATTGGCAACATACTGTTTTGAAAATGACATTTTTTATGAAGTGTGAAAGACAGATAACAGGAGGAATATATGGAATATCTAAAGCATTATCCCTCCTTCAGGAGGAGAATAAGGAAGATAGGAAGGAGGAAAAATGAGTGTGCAGAGCTGAGGTTAGACTCTGCTGAATGTGGGGATTACCACGCTGAAATTCATAATGCAGTCCATCATCTTTCCTTTCACCTCCTCTCTCTCTCTCTTCCTTAGCTGTCCAGTGACTCAGAGAAGCAATCACACTAAAAGCTTTTTCTTCTCTCGACCTCTGTTTTTTTTTTTGCCTCCCTGCGTGTTGATAAAAGGTACGAGAAAGCAACAAAGGAAGGAGGAAGGCGCTGCAATAGCTCGCTAATTAATTTGGTGTAATTTTTACATTTCATGCCTCTGCAGATATCGAGCAGCCAAACAGGAACCAGTTGCTAGGAAACGTAAATAAAAAGCAGCGCCGAAAATTTGGAAGTTAAGTTGAGAGAGCGGGAGTTCAGGCAAGGATAATTTCCTCATAGGCAAAAGGAAAGATCACACTTTATCCAAATAAGCTACAAAATAAAATTTGATGACATTCATTTGTTAAGTACTTTATGAGTACAGCTGCTACCAGTGAGAGCCAGTGCAAGACCAGAATAAACAAATAACACAATCCCCACCAGCACAAAGTTGACCGCAGCTCATCTGCAGGACTAAGAAATGTAATTTGTATAATAATTATAAGAAAACCAAAACCCATTTCTGTCATCGCTGTTTCTCCCCCTCCTCCGTTTAATGCGTTAATCCCATCTCCTATCAAGTAAAATCCAGCACTGAAAAATGAAGCCAAGCAGAAGTGATAAAAACTGCAGTTCCTCTAAAGGCCACTTGAGGCTTGATGTTAGTTCAACACGTTTCGTAACTGCAATGATAGTATTTTATTTGTCTATTATTATATTATTATATTTGCACTATTTATCAAATATATAAATTGCCCTCTAGTTAACAATTACAGCTTAACCAGGCTAGCTAGCTGATATCTTAGCTGATAATGATCAAATGCTAGCTTAAAGCCTTCAAAATCCAACGGGTGATGTTACATCAGCTACATCCATTTTTTATTCGTTGTCTGGGAAACCATCGGATATCTGCCACATAAACCAGACAATTAAAAATTTAAAATATATCCTAATAAACTTTCTGGCGTACTGAGATGACTGCCGATAATATGTGGATAGTCATTGTGAGACCTCTTGACTGAAAATGAGTGACTGAGCTCATAAACTCAGTGTGTTTACAGAGCTGAAGACTGAGCCGTTTCCCCATAGATTTCTATAGGACCAATAGTTTTTTTGTAACAATCGCAGCTATCGCCCTCTGGTGGCCTTCAGATATAATGCAGGATTAAGGCACTTCTGCATCACCTTCATTTTTCTGACATTAATGTCCATGTTTTGTAAAGAGTTTGAGTCACATCATTTAGATACCTAGTCAATAGTCAGTGTGGTTGCTAGCCTTCAAAGTAAACATCTGGAAATGGATCAAAAGTATTGCTTAGCAGAGAGGTCAAGGTCTTAAAGATACAATCAGAGCTCAGCTGTACACACAGAGACATCTTTTTAAGAAAAAAATCAACAGCAGTGTGAGTTTACAATCCCAATATTGTCAACAAATTAATAAATAAATGCTTTATAGTTTACAGTGGGTAGAAATAAAAACACTTTGCTGCTACCTCTTTGAGATATATATTAAGCTACTTCAGTAAATCACATTATCACATAAAAATATCAGGACTTTGTTCTATTTTTGAACAGTCTCGGCTTTATGAGCAAGCGATTGAGAGTAACAATAAGAAATAGAGAGATGCTGTGGCTGCAGATTTGGGCCAAAAGACTTTGTTGTGTTTGCTTCAGGAGTGACAGATGGGTGAAGTTTACTGTGTTTTAGTACTTGGAGTGGACAAACAGCCCATAAAGTCCATCACTGATAAACTCCATCCGCTTTACTCCCCAAGCAAAGTGAGATAAACAACCCCCTCAAACCCAATTTAAACCCCAGTACTGGGGGCTGTACAGGCAGCTTATAAAGACACAGAGATGATAATTAGAGAGACCTAGAGAAAGAGAGACAGACAGAGATATTGGAATTATTCTATTTTTGTTATTCCTCGTTGAAAAATACATATTTAAAGGAATATTCCATGTATGTATTGAATAACCCCTGTTTTCTTGCCCCATCCAATGGTGTAATCTGTTGCTGCGAGGTGGCGTCTCACACAAACGCTTCCTTCTGCAGCTCTGCAATGCCAATGTGATGAAATTATTATTATATCATTATAAATAAATTATTTTTCTTGCTTAAAAAAACTGTGTTGTTTGTATGCTTTCCCTCCTGCTGTAGTAGCTTTCAAGGTTACACTCTCATATCTCTGAGCTGTGTCTGCTGGAGCACCAGCTCTTCTGTTAATTGGTTGTTTCTGTCTACACAGAGAAGCACCGCACGGGAAATAGAGCCTTCTGATCCAAAGTTTAATCATTAGCTACTTATATAGGGTATTTAATTACTATGTGTGTTTATGAAGCAGAAGCTGTTTTAGGGAGAAAATAACGTTCTTACATAACAGGACACTTTTAATTATATTAAAACTTACTGATTTAGAAACCCATAAACTTGATTTGACTTCTATACCTTTAAAAATATCTAAATGTTAATAGGTAATCATTATCATTAAGGCCTTGGTTGTGCCTTTATTTTCCCCATATTCTGCTCATTGTGTATATATTGGCAAATACAATATGGATGGCCAAGGAAAAGGAAGGCATGAAGTACCTCTATATACTTACACATCATGAAAATACAGTATTAAATGGTAAACTGGTAAAAAAGTATGGAGTTCCTCAGGGTTCTTTGCTAAGGCCGAAACGTTACGAGGCAGGATTGTAAAAATACTACATTTATGGCTTTGCAAATGATTTCCAACTTCATAGTCTGATGACAAAAATCAGTTGGTTTATGATACTGTGAAAGGCCTCAAAATACTAATTAATTAATGCTACTTTTTAAAAAAGCTACATTTGACTGCTCCTTTGTCAACCTAGCATGTAGCTCCACATGTTTGTCAGATTGCGCATCCTGATGTGACACCAAAAAGAATTGCTCTCCGGCTGTCATAAAACCAAAGGAAAATAAACCTAAACTCCAACTTCTTATCCCAGATGACATTACCTTGTCCTCTGTGCTAATAGGAAAAACCTCATAGTCATGCTCAACTACATCTCTAGGCTTGCCTTCTATTAAATTTTTATATTGACAAAATTAAAAACATCCTGTCCTGGAGTGATACTAAAAAAGAAATCAATAGATTTGTTACTTCTACATTGATTATTGTCAGGAGGACTGCAGCTAACAGTGCATCATGATTTTATAGAGAAAAAGTATCCAACTATTTAAAGTATTCAATAAATAAAAAAAACTGTCATCTTGTTGCTGCCTAAGTCTTCCTTTAACATTTAGGTTAGCTTAGGTTACAGACACTGAATCCACTGAAGTGTAGGAAAGCATTAAATGAAAGTTTTCATCATCTAGTAAAGCCATTTTGATTTTCAGCCTCTCTGGGTAGATCTGACCAGAAAAGAAGGCCAGAATTTAAGTAGTCTTTACAAAACACGTGTAAGAAAGTAGTGACAATAACAAAAGTCTACATGTTAACATCAGACAGAGCTTTCCGTCTTTTGGTTTCATAACAACTGATTAAAATCAAACTGATAAATCCTGTTGGATCCTAGAGAAAAAAGAGCAACAGCAAATTAATTGTGATTAATTGTCTGTTGATGAAAAGGAAAAAACCCTTAACACTCTTTAATATGTTGATCAAAGATTTGTAATCTTTGAAGTTGATTTGGAGGATTTTTGACTGACTCCTTCCTTTGACATGTAAATCCCGATCAGCGCCTCGGACGGATGCTTTTTGGTTCAGCACGAAGGTTTGTAGCCTGGGGTGAGTCTTAACTTGAGTTTCCATCGAGGATGTGAAAGCAGTTGTAGCTGCAGGTTGTTTTCATAATTAGCTCCACTACGAGAGGCAGTGTCACTCCAAAGGCAATCTTGCCTAATTACCTTCCTCTGCCGCTGATATTGCTATCTTTGTAAGAACCAATTAGAGTCTAAACATTGCATGGGCATTTCCTTTATGGTCCAGGAGCTTTATGACTCGTTTAAAGGATTAAAACTAAGACCAGTAGCTGACATTAGTTGTCTTAAGAAAAGTACAAGTTTCTGTGCAGATTCAAATGGGCCGTCACGGCTGGTTCATACCGATGAAAACTTCACAGCAACCTTCCAATTTAGGCACACACTCCCCATCGTAGCACTGCTGTTTACTTGTTGTAGTCTAGAGCCATCTAGTGGTTAAACCAGATAAGTGCAGTCTACAGTTCTAAGCTGCCCCAGTGTTTCGAGCTCAGATTTAAAGAATAAAGTAGCAAAAATGTAATTCTTTCTTAGTAAATGTAATTAAATTTTATTATTACATTTATTATTAATTGTATTTAAAATAAATCAATGGAGTTGTATATCAGTACATTTATACATAAAAATATACATCGTATATACATAAACATACAATTTACAAACATACATTTGTACATTTTTTGTGTTGAAATGTTACTGAGATTCATTTTATGTAACTGATTTATTGTTTTCTTTAAATGAAATCATTAATGATACGTTTTAGGTTCACGTTCTTTGCATGAAAACTTTTGCATGAAAGTGATCACATCTGGAGACAAGCAGCAACAACCAAGAACATAAATCTCTTTTAGGATGAAGACTGGGTTTAAGGTTGGGCTAATAAATGAATGGAAGTCCTGTGTGTTAAGCTGGCATGGTAAAGTGATTACTCATAACAGTGTACTCGAACCTGATTGCATCCCCCCTCTGCTCTGCCTTGTGTGGCCACTTTCTGCACACACATACACACACACCAGTAAAAGGGGAAAAGAGGGACATCAACATGACAGCTCAAAAAAATGAACAAGTCCACAAAAACACATGAGCCCTTGGTCTGGGGACCCAGGCCCATGACAGTGTGAATGCATTACACTCTCGCTGCTGGGGAACCTAACAAATAACCAGAACAAAGACTAAAATAGAGCATGTCAAACAGCTGCACCGCTGAGGGACCTGTGCGACTACTGTGACCTGTTTTACAGTTGCTGGCAGGTAAACAACTGATCTCTGGAATGAAACACGTTCTCGTTTATGTGTGATGTAGCAGCTATAAGTTTTAGAAAAGTTTTCATTTTGTGACCTGTCCAACTGAAATGGAGGAAAACCTGTTTTACAGCTTTTTAGCAAATGGCAGGATGACATTTGGCATCTGGAATGAAGCATTACAAGTGAAGCAACATGTTTCTCCTTATCTAACTTGCGTGAAGCGAACTAGGAAACAGATTGTTCTTCTTCCTCAGCAAAAAGAGACGCACAGAGGATCCGACTAAGTATGGACCAAACTAGCAGCTTCCTCTGGTCTGAGTGAGTCCAGCTACAGGAGAGGAAAGTGGAAAACTCCAACACTGCTGCCTCGAGCTGCTGAAGCTCCACACACTGAATTTGAGTTTGACCAAAAACACGACTCAAAGGAAGTTTCAGTGAAGTTAGCAAAGGAGGGAGCCGGGACTGACTGTACTTCCTGTCTGCTGTTTTCAGCTTCACTCACAGACTTCATGGCTTCCAGATCAGAGGAGGATCTCTGCTGTTCAGTCTGTCAGGAGGTCTTCAGAGATCCTGTTCTTCTGTCATGCAGCCACAGCTTCTGTAAAGACTGTCTGAAGAGATCGTGGAGAGAGAGACCAATACATGAGTGTCCATTTTGTAAGAAAATATCAGTGTATGATCCTCCTTTAAACCGAGCTTTAAAGAACCTGTGTGAGTCATTCTTACAGGAGAGAGATCGGAGAGCTTCAGAGGCTCTCTGCAGTTTGCACTCTGAGAAACTCAAACTCTTCTGTCTGGACCATCAGCAGCCAGTGTGTGTCGTCTGCAGAGACTCCGAAAAACACACCAACCACAGATTCAGACCCATTGATGAAGCTGCACGACAACACAAGAAGGAACTTCAGGAAACTTTGGAGCCCTTAAAGAAGAAATTAAAGGTTTGTGAAGAAGTTCAAGTGAAGTTTGATCAAACAGCAGAACACACTAAGGTCCAGGCCCGACACACAGAGAGGCAGATTAAGGAGAAGTTTAAGAAGCTTCACCTGTTTCTAGCAGAGGAAGAGGAGGCCAGGCTGGATGCACTGAGGGAGGAAGAGGAGCAGAAGAGTGGGATGATGAAGGAGAAGATGGAGGCTCTGAGCAGAGACATAGCAGCTCTTTCAGACACAATCAGAGCCACAGAGGAGGAGCTGAGAGCTGAAGACATCTCATTTCTGTGCAGCTACAAGACTGCAGTGGAAAGAGTCCAGCGCTGCCCCCTGCTGGATGATCCACAGCTACCCTCAGGAGCTCTGATAGACCAGGCCAAACACCTGGGCAACCTGACCTTCAACATCTGGATCAACATGAAGGACGTGGTCTCCTACACTCCTATCATTCTGGACCCAAACACTGCTCATCCAGAACTCATCCTGTCTGAAGATGTGACCAGTGTGAGACGAGGAGGAGAGAGGCAGCAGCTTCCCGATAATCCAGAGAGGTTTGATTACTCCTGCTCTGTCCTTGGCTCGGAGGGCTTTAACTCAGGGACTCACAGCTGGGATGTTGAGGTTGGAGAGAGTACAGGGTGGATACTGGGTGTGTCAGAAGAGTCTGTGAAGAGGAAGGGAGACATAGACTCTGGATTATGGATAATTTGGTTCTATCGAGGTGAATACTCAGCATCGTCTCCATCAGCAGAGACGGTTCTCTCAGTAGAAAAGAAGCCCCAGAGGATCAGAGTGAATCTGGACTGGAGCAGAGGAAAGCTGTCGTTCTCTGATCCTGATACTAGCACACACATACACACCTTCACACACACTTTCAGTCAAAGGATTTTTCCATATATTGAAACTGTGGCTGGTAAAGTGAAGGTGGGTCCGATGAAGGTGTCAGTGGAGCAGATGAGTTGAGGATGATAATATTCCTAATGTTGTTTCCTGTCAGTGATTCGAAGCTGTTAAACTGCAGCTGTCCTCCTGCTGCCTCGTTGTTCCAAAGCTCTTTGTTTCACTGTTTCTTTCTGTTTCTGCTGCCCACCTTTTCACATGGGAAATCATTTCACTGCTTCTCACTGAATGACTCCCCAAACTAGATTTGAAATTCTATCAGATCTCTAATCATTACAAGTGATTCCAGTTTCTATTTGATGTGTGTAAATGGAGATGATTTAGTTTGCTGGGACTGACATGTGTTGATTGGGTGGAGCAGTTTGTTGTTGTCTTCTTGTCTGTTTATGACAACAATAAATATATTGTTTAAAAATCAAACTGCTGTAATAAAATAAACTAGTTGTGTCACGGTCCTGTTTCGGTGACCCAGTGTTTTGTATTATTATTCATCTTTGAGTTCATCATGGTTCATCACTGTTGTCGCATTGTACCCTCACCGTGCTGCGTTTTCCCTCCGTGTTTCTAGTTTCCCAGTTTTCTAGTTTGAGTTTGGTGTTTGTGTGTCTAGTTTAGCTTTCCTGTATTTCATGTTAAAGTTTTTCTCCAGCAATAAAGCTGCTGCCTTTAGTTTGTCATTCAGTCTCCGAGACCTGCATTTGGGTCCTACATCCTGGCTTCGGTCTTCTGGAGTCTGGAAGCTAGGAGCATGGGGGACTGGGGGAAACAGGAGTTTGCAAGCTGGTGGGAAGTGGAATTGGTTGCAGACAGAAGCACACGGGAGGGGGGGAAGCAAGACTGTGGAGGTCCGGGTGAGTTTGAAGGTGAGAATGGTCCAGAGATCCAGAGGAGGTAGGGGAGGCAGGCAGGTGTGAGTAAAAACGGTGCCAGCATCATTATGTGCAAAATATTTTAAATAGCAGAGGAGTAAAGTATCTGTGGAATCAACTGGTTAGCAAACAATCTGGGGAAGGTTAGTTGTGTGTGCTGGTCTTATATGCAGCCAGCTTCATTGGCTCCAGGTGTGGATCCAGGGTGTGGTGTCGTGTGGTCATGTGGCTCTAGTCTTTACTTAAGCATGTAGCCTGCCTCTTGTGCCGTGCTTTGGTCTTGCGTGCCACACTCATTAACACTAGAATAAAAAATTAATAAAGTTGGTGTCGGGAGCATGTCGCAAACATGTCTGCCACGAGGGGAGCCATATTGTTGTGAGGCGGCCTACATGGACGAGGTGAAGAACCTGGCATCGTGGTGTCAGGACAACAGCTGAATGTCTGCAAGACCAAGGAGCTGGTGGTGGACTTCAGAAGGAGTAAGCACCAAGTGTACAAGCTTCTTATCATCAACAGAGCTCCAGTGGAGAGGGTGCTGTCAACACATTGCTGTGCTAACATGGCACAAGACACTTTAACATTCCACTTGCACAATGTACATTTTTAGATTTTTAATTTAAAATTTCAATTTTTGAAAATGTAATTTACGTATTGTATTAGTGTCTTTTTTTTTTTTTGCACAGTCAAAGGAGCAGTTCAGGACACATTTCACTTTGTGTTGTACTCGTATGACTATGCTCGTGACATAAAGAATCTAGAATCTTTATGTAATTTTACTTCAATTAGATTTGATTTTAGCACATTTTCCCTTTTTAATTCAAATACAGAGAAATACTCTCTTTACTTTCTAAAGATGTGTTTTTTAAATAGATACATAGATAGATAAACCTTTATTAGTCAAACACGTGGGAAAATTGTTGTGTCACAGCAGAAAGTAGACAGTGCAAAGTTATAGCAGCAAAATTAAAGAAAAACAGTGGAATAGGAAAAAGAATAACATGCTATATACAATATAATAAAATACTACACTGTCAGAAAAAATACACTTAGTTTTATTGCACATGTGTGGATGTGTGTGTTTGCTCAACTGCAAACTTTTTCTTGTGGAGTCTGACAGCAGTAGGAAGAAAAGACCTGCGGACTCTCTGTTTTCCAACAGGAATGACCGTACTGCAGACGACCCTGTCCCACACACAGCCCTGAGTTATCACATACTGTGGTCGGTCGTTGAGGTAGATCCATGGAGTATCCTTTCTCACAGTGCTCCCAGCGTTCTTCAGGTGAGAGAGGGAATGATGTAGGAGGTGGGCCTTTGAAGATGTCCCACAAACTGTCCTCACCTCCATGGTCAAAAACACTCAGTGCGGTCCTCACAAGGATAGACTCGCCAGTGCGCACACACACGGAGGGGAAAGCTCTCTCATCAGGGCCAAACTACAGAGCTCCATTCTTCCTGTTTCTGACAGCGGAGAGCACGCCGTGTTATCTATGACACACACACACACACACACACACACACACACACACA